GGCCATTTTTTTTGCAATACGGCTTTGCGTTACTTTAACTGACAATTGCGTGGTCATGCAATGGAATTTATGTCCTTTTTTCCCCAAAAATGGCACTTTCTTTCGGTGGTATTTGATCATCTGTGCGGGTTTTTTTTTTGCGCTATAAAACAACAAAATACCAACAATTTTGAAAAAAAATATATATATATTTTTTGAGTTTTTGATATAAAACATATCTAGTAAAAAAATTTTCAAAAAAAATCAAATTTCGTCATCAATTTAGGCCAAAATGTATTCTGCTACGTCTTTGCTAAAAAAAAGAAAAAAAAAAAATCCCAATACGTGTAAATTAATTGGTTTATGTGAAAGTTATAGCGTCTACAAATGGCGGTATATATATATATATATATATATATATATATTAGTAAGGGCGGCTATCAGCGACTTATAGCAGGACTGTGGTGGGCACTCTGACACTGGAGGAGGGACTAATGGCCACTGACACTAATACAGTGATCAGTGCTACTAAAAAGGACCGACACTGTACTAATGCCACTGGGCAGGAAGGGGTTAACATCTGGGGCGATCAAAGGGTTAACTGTGTGCTGTTTTACGGTGTTGTCTGTGTGTGCTTAAGGCTCCATGCACACTGGGTGTTTTATTATTGTTAGCTGTGTAAAGTCAGTTTTTTAGCGTTTTTGTATTAGCGTTTAGCCGCAGTTGCTTTTTTTAGAGGTTTTTAGAGGTTGTAAACCACAGGCATGAAATATGAACAAGGCATATCCCTCTATAGTGTAGACTTGTCTCAGTTGAGAGCACTAAGGGTCATTTCTGCCTGCTGCATTCCTCTATCAATAAGAATCAGTTCTGACAAGTTTTCCTGACACCAAGAAGAAAATGGTGACAGGGGAGGGACCTCCAGCAGATTTGACAGACTCAACTCTATTCCTGTGAGCTTCCATTCTCAGCTAACAACCCAGAGGAAGCATGGCAAATAAAATGTAGGAAAAAATCGAATTGTTTATCTCTATACCTGTCTCTATACCTGTTCTGGGCGCCATTTATGTCTGGGGGTTGATGCAATATCTTTACAATCAATAGGCAACTACCAACCATAGTTCCACCATCCAACCACTGCCACAAATTTACATTCGCTTAACAGTGGCTTTCAATGCCCATGCAGAGTACCATAATCAGCCTAAAGGTATTCTTAACTTCTGACTGCTGATGTCACCAAAAAGATTGGCGCGGGATGAGAGGAGCCATCTTCACAGAGTCAGCGGCATGGGATACCTCTACTATGCGAGGTTAGGTTAGTGCCCAGTAATTGAAGCCCATTTCTGTCTAGGTGGCACCATGACAATAGGACATATATGTGTAGCATTATACAGGGGGCTGGTATGAGGAGTCTTAACTGAGGCCCATAATGTGCTGGTGCATGGGACCTGTGTAATCTATGTGCACCAATGTCCTTTCCTGCCCTGCTAAAAATGACCAAGACATGATAAGTCTTTATGCATGCTTTTTTTTTTACCATATTTGTATGTAATTACGCATGAAAAACATATAAAAGTCATAATAAAAGCCACCTCTTGTAGAAATCTTAGTTTTAGTGGCTAATATACAAAAAAAAAAAAAAAAGAGAGGAAGTCCAGATATCACTGAAACCTAGGTTAATAAAAAAACAGGCCAAGAGTGTCTGCTGAACTGTATATTACTGGGTGCTTTTAACTTTTGTTTCTAAACTGCCTGCAGTGGGCAGAGTGCAGTACAATCTACTTCAAGCCAGGCCTGGATGGTCAGCTACAATTCCGGTATATTTACTAAAAGGCCTTGTATCTGCAATATTAGTGATCTTATCACAATGGTTTTGGAGCCATAGTAAACATGAAACTTTCAAATAGTTTCAAGCAAAGGAAAAAACAAGGCACACACCACAAAGCGGTGAGCTAAGTGTACAGTAAACTGCTTTAACTTGTGTTTATTGGTAATTGCTGCTTGATGGTTGCTTTTGGTAACTGCACACATGCAACATGTCTTAGATTGTAAGCTCCAAGGAGCAGGGCCCTCCTATCCCTCTTGTATTGAACTGTATTGTTGCTGTATTGTCTCCCGTTATATTGTAAAGCGCTGAGCAAACTGTTGGCGCTATATAAATCCTGTATAATAATAATAAACAAACAAAAGCAATCAACATGTACATGCACTGGAAACAAACACAGAATGTGGTTTGCATTGAGCACAAATGTACAGCAAGTTAGAGTTTTGCACTGATCGAAACAGCAAGTGATAAGATTTAACCCCTTCACGCTAAGGGTAAAACAAATCTTAATGCCTAAGCACAGCTTTGCATCTTTGACATGTGTCAGCAAAACTGTACATATCATCACAACTACTTTGTGCATCCAGGTGAATTATACCATGTTTTTTCAGGACAAATTGGGCTTTTATATGATGATAAATGGTAATGGATATCTCTTGATTTTTTTTGTATTAAAAAAGGAAAACTGGCCCAAAATAGTAAACAAAAAAAAAAAAAACATTTTTTTTTAGCCACTATCCTACAGGACACTTACACCCCCTTTCTGCCCAGGCCAATTTCCAGCTTTCAGCGCTGTCACACTTTGCATGACAATTGTGCGGTCATGCAGCACTGTACCCACATGAAATGTTTATCATTTTTTGGTGACAGATAGAGCTTTATGTTGGTGGTATTTAATTACCCCTGGGTTTGTTTTTTTTTAAAACAAACCAAAAACCACTGAAAATGTTGAAAAAAATGTTTTTTTTCTTAGTTTTTGTTACAAAATTTTGTAAATAAGTGATTTTTCTCCTTCACTGATGTGCACTAATGAGGCTGCAGTGATGGGTACTGATAGGCAGCACTGACTGGCACTGATAGGCAGTCACTGAAAGACATGACCGAGCCAACATCTGCTCTTTCCGTGGATCAGTGATCAGCTGTGTCCGATGGACACAGCGCACCGCCGATCGCTGCACTGCGCGCTCCCAGAGCCGCGCACGCACGGTTGGAATGGGAGGACGTCATGTGACGTCCTCCCAGAACGAGAGAACAACCTTGCGCCCGTCATTGTACTATATGGTGGGCAGGAGGCGTTTAAATATAGTTGTATATATCTTGCTAATACCATAACCAACCACCAAAGAACCCAAAATAATTTCTCCTGCTCCTTACGATCACAGCGATACCACATATGGGTGTTAGTTGTTGTTTGTACTCGTAGTACGGCCCAGAAATAATAGTGCGCATTTTGCTTTTTTTTTTTATCCTGCCACTAACTGACACTGATACGAATTTAAAAATAAAAAAATACTGACAAAAAAAAAACAAAACTGACCCAAACCTGGCACTGATCTAGATCAAACCTTAGTATTTTAATTTATTTTGTTATTATTATATTTATTAATTTTTTTTACAAACAGTTTTTTTCTCTCTGAATGGAGATAGATACAATGCATCTTTCTCCTCCATTCAGAAAGAGAAAACGGGGGGGCTTCACAGTGACTGATCACTGTGATAGTCAATCAGAGGCTTTCACAGCGATCATGTTTGCTAATTTGCGCACGCTCTGTGCCAAGGGGTTAATATTTCTGCTTGTATTTATTGTTATACTTACATGTCTATACATACATATAATAAATGTCTACAACTCGATGCCCTCTAAAAAAATTTTTCAGGGGTTCCCGGAGCTCAGAAAATGTTTCATGGTTGCCTTCAGAGTATAAAATTTGAGAAAGAAAACTGATAGATTTCCAGACAGGCGATTAAACTTTTCTGCTACCAAAATAGTAGAGATGTGTACACACCGAGTTATTTCCATACAACCAGCTTGTTGAACGAAAAAAAACCCCCAAAAACCTCACAGATTCCTGCATCCACACAAGCGATACGAATGCAGGGAACTCCCAGGTTACGCTATTCTATTCTCACAGCTGTAACCGGGACTCCCCGCCCCCATCAGAATACACTGATCAGCGCTGCAGCAGCAGATCAAATGCTGTTTTTCCAGCAGGACTATTCAACAGAAGTTGATCTAAGAATCAGCTTTTGTTGAACAGACGGGTACACATTAATTGAATTTTTGATGTGATTACCCAGCTTTAGCCACCCGTTTGAAAATAAACTGAAATCAACATAATACTAACAAGATGCTTGCCAAGAAATCGTTAAATCTCTCAGTAGTAGATATAATCACCAGGTAGCCCCAGCCATAATGATGCAGCAGCCCATTAGTATGGAAAGAAGAGAAGTTCACTTCCTAGAGAAATACTTTTTCAACCATTCTCCTTTTGTAAAAATAGACACACACACATTATAGTCTGATTATACGGTTTCATTTAGATTAGCCAGGCATGTAGTCTAAAGGCTGGGTAAAAATTGAATGGAGAGTTCAGGTAAGTCCTCACACCACATTTCTGGCCATTTAATTTGAAATAAGATTGTAGAATCGTATTAGAACATGTAGATAACTTTACGTAACTTTATTAAGTGGTTGTAAAGGCTAATGTTTTTTTTTTTTTTTTTACCTTAATGCATTCTCTGCATTAAGGTAAATAATCTCTCATGTTTTGCTCCCCCCCCTTCCCCCCAAAATACTTACCTGAGCTCGATCTCAATCCACTGCTGTGCCCGAAAGCAGCACAGTTGCTGGCTGTCTCTCTCCTCATTGGCTCAGAGACAGCAATGGGAGCCACTGGCTCCCGCTGCTGTCAATTACAGCCTCTAAGGAGAGGGGGGTGGGGCTGAGCTCCCCTGTCTGTGTCTAGACATAGGCAGCGCGGCTCAGGATGGAACCTGCAAGAAGTGATCAGTTTCCTGATTTTCCAAAACACATAAAAGCTGTAGAATTATATATTTTATTTAAAAAAAATTTATTATGAAGAAGCTTCCAAATTTACAGTTTATCAATCTATTTTCAAAAGTTACATCAAATTTTTTTTTAAAGGACAATTCTTGTGACCACATAAAAAGAAAAAGTAAATGCTTATTCTTGAAATCAGCGTGGGGCGAATCCCCCTCTATGTGGTCCACGTCCTCTGAAACCTCCTCTGTCACCGCGGAAACTTCCTCTGTTTCTTTCTCTACCTCTTTCTCCTCTTCCTGCAGAGGGTCCACCCCGACTGCCACCTCTGGAATTGCCAAAGCCGGATGTGCCAAAACCACGGTCTGATTTAAGTGGGGGTGTTTTGGGGCGAAGCCTCTCTATCTCCTCTGTGCAGCCTGTGAGTGTTGAATTTGGGGTATTGAAATACGTACCATAAGTCTCAGCATTGAAGTTGCTGTTGGTAAGAGTAGGTCCCACTGTAAGCCAGCCTGAAAGCAGAAAATAAATGGTATCAGAATATGTAGATGTAAATTGTGATTCTAAGCAGTCTAAACTAATGGCTAGGACGATCTCTCATTTCATCCTTTGTTATGATCGGAGGCATACCGAATAAAGGGAATGACATCAACACAGCCACAGAACATCATCACCTTGTGCCAGTGTTAGCCACTTCTTATGTGTACTCCAAGCTTCCCCATAGATTCTTGTAGCGACTTCAATGACCAATATTTACAGTGGGGATCACTGTAAGACTTATCCTACACATTACAATCTAACCATCTCTGTACGTTCAACTTTAGATTTACCATTACTTTGTAAATATGACGACCTTCCAAAACTATTCAAATCACTCTATATCCAGTCAGGCAGGTCCCTTGAACTACATAAATGTTGGCAGATCTGAGGGAGATTGCTCAATCACATTGTAATGTGTGTGGTGAGCGTAGGCCTCCCTAACACAGGAACAGTGTGCAGACTGAACTCGTTGTGCCCTATAGAACTATAAAGAAATATGTTCACTCTAGTAAAGCTATCAGTGGCCATCTGTGTTTAAAGTGTTACTAAACCCAGGACCCTGCATTCACTATATCTGCACTCCCACAGTACACAGAACATGGAAATGCAATTATTTTAGTAAATATAAACTGCTAAATACCTTTTCTCATCAGCAGTTAGAGCAGTCTTGTGACTTCTATCAGTGTTCAGCAGAGCACTGGTTATAGCTTGTAGGAATTTTCTTTCAGCTCTAGGAGGATGCAAAACCCCTGACCTCTGTCTGGGCAGTGCTGATTGGCTCTGTGCTGATCACATGCACTCTCCCCAGAAGAAAAAAAAACATCTCTAGCAATACACACTAAACTGAGCATGTGCAGAATGGCTACGGGTTCAGTCTGTCTTATCAGGAGATAAGACGTGGACATTTGAACAAGGAGGAGTAGCAGACAAGACAGGATCAAAAGGCCTTTTTACACAATGCAGAGGATTAACCCCTTAGGTTCCACAGTGAGTATAACAAGCATGCTTTACTGCATATACAAAATGATTTTACTGTTGTGGGTTTAGGAACACTTTAACATATTTACATATGTTTAATATATTTGCATTGAATAAACTTATAGAAAAACTTGTACTTTGAAAAATACAAGGGCTACCATTGCTCCAGAACTCCTAATGTGCAATATTATGTATTCTAGGTTTCAGCCTCAAGAAGCTAAAGTCACTGGAATAGCATGGCAACCAGAAATTCACATTTTCAGAAGGCATCCTCTATATTTTCTCAGTAAAGCACAGATTACATGTGCATATGTACCCAGATTATGGATATAAAGGTCTTTGCATACCCCAAACAAGCAGTGAAGGAGCTTTATAAAAAGCCCTCACTGACCTCTATAGCTGTAGGCACTGTGGAGTATTTTATCCTCAAAGATAACAGAGGCTCTGAGGCACCTATAGGTGCTTACAGCACCTATTTGTTTACAAAACACTGCCATAATGGAAGAAAAGCTTTTATTTTAGTGCTTATGTTGTGAACTCCGGTGTTTAATTTTTTCGACATTGTGTCAGCTTTGAAGATGAATTTCTTCAAAATACCTACAACTACTGAGGTGAATGAAAACTTGCATTGAAGCATTTTTGCTCTTTTACAGAATATGCAAATACAAATAATGTTCCTTGTTTGGGCAGGTGGTCACTTTCAACCTGGCAACAAAGGAATACAAAGAAATGGCAGCAAATCATTTTGCATATAAATCCCCAACATTTTCTTTGAAGATTAACTTATCGACTACACTTTGGGATTTTTTTTTTTCTCATTTCTCTTCCTTTTCAAGGTACACACACTCATAGGGCAAACAATTACATAGAGCTCAGTTTTTCATCCCTGTTTGAACTAGCTAAAGGTCAGGAATACAGCAAGGATTCAATTAAAAATGTTGTGTTTGCACTGATTATCTCCTTAAGTCTTACCAGGTCTTATGGTGCTGTCTCTTCCAAAGAGGTGGAGCCGCCTTCTTCCTAGACAGAAATGTTCAATAATGTGAAATATCTCTACAGGCTTTTCAATGTTTCCTATTTCAGGCTCCTCTGTGATGATAAGGTCAATGTCAACATTGGCATGGATGAAATCTCCATCAGTGCTGCGGTGAACTGTTCCTTTAATACCCATAAGGCAATGTTCCTACAGAAACAAACAATTCAAAGTTATGTTAACCCAAGTCCAGCTTTACTAACTGGCTTTTATTGTTAGTGGGGGAGCAGTGAGATCATACCAGAAGTAGGCAGAAATTAGCTAAAAGCATTTAAATCTATATCTTTTAAAAAAAAAAAAATAATTCCAAATTCTAGTGACAAATGGTCACACCATACCTTCGTCCTCTGGAAGATTGCCTTGGGATCCAGGGTCTTGGTCTTGCCTGGATTATCTTTATTGGTTTTTATCCAACAAATGTCTTCAGACCGCCTGAATCCCCACTTGCGAAAACACTAAAGATAACAGTATTAAAATTAAACAAATAGATATCACTGGCAATCGCACACATTTTCTCACATTGTATAAAACACAATACTGTAAAGATTAAATTGGTATTATGTCTATCACAACAGACAAAATCCATAATATGTTAGTGCAACCTAACTGGAAGCAGACAGCAAATCACAAAGCAGGCTGGGTAAGACATGTTAAAGAGGAGCTGCAGTCTAATTTTTCAAAATTAAAAGTCAGTAGCTACAAAAACTGTAACTGCTGACTTTTAAAAAAAACAGACACTCACTTGTTCCAGAATCTAGTGTTGTGCTCATCGAAGACCCTTTGTTACACCGGTCTTCGATTTCTGGCACCATCTTAACTGTGGGCACTGTACATGCATGAAGCACGCTATGCATCTTAAATGGTCCCAGTGTCTTCTGGAACCTCTGACATGTCCCAGAAGACTGCAGGAGACAGAGAGGGGAGGTGAACTTCCGCCCGGATCATCTAGGCCAGTGGTTCTCAACCTGTGGGTCGCGACCCCTTTGGGGGTCGAACGACCCTTTCACAGGGGTCCCCTAAGACCATCAGAAAACACATATTTCCGATGTGTAAAGAGCAGCTACTGTGTAGAAAGCAGCTGCTGTGTTGAAAGCAGCTACTCTGTTAAAAGCAGCTACTGTGTTGAAAGCAGCAGTATTGGAGGTAAAACGACACTCATGAATTATAATTACTGGGTAAATAATTTTATGGTTGGGGGTCACCACAACATGAGGAACTGTATTAAAGGGTCACGGCATTAGGAAGGTTGAGAACCACTGATCTAGGCGATCCGTGCAGAAGTGGGAGTAGGTATCTGTCAAAACTAGGTACCCAACAACTCCCCACCCCACCTCCAAATAAGTCCTCTTTGTTGAAGAGAAATGGAGGAGGAGGCCTTAAAGTGGAACTTCCCCTTTTGGTTGAAGCTCCGCTTTAATGTGCAACTATGACCAAAATGTAAAATTATATATTAATTTCTATACTGTAGTTCGATTTTTTTCTAGCTTACTCCTATTAAAGATCCTGGAACAAATTCACTTTGCCCTGAGAGTAGGCGCTGCTGTGTCACACATTTCACAGAGCCTGCCTTCTGAACTACAGAGGTGCTGAGAGGAGGAGTTTCAAGAGGCGGAGTCAGTTCAGGACTCACTGATTGCAGGCAGCAATGTGCCATGGGATATGTAGTCCTTTGATATTTACTTTAAATTTCTGAGGAGAAGCTGCAAAGAATGCAGGGAATTTAGGAAGTTGTGGAAAAAAGATGGCCAGCAGTTAGACAGCACTCACAACATGAAAGGAGATTTTGTTTTAAAGTAAGCCTATACTGTATTGTTAATAATAACTAAGGTTTGTATTGTTACTACAATGCTGATATTATATAATGAAAGAGTATGCCATGACCATAGAATTCCTTTCATGAAAGTTCATAATGTCAGAGCAGCAATGTCCAAGTTACATAGTTAGTCTGGCTGAAAAAAGACAAAAGTCCATCCAGTTCAACCATAGAAAAAAAAAGAATGATCCAATTTGTTCCTGCAGGGGAAAAAATTCCTTCCTGATTCCCAGAGAGGCAATCGGATATTCCCTGGATCAACTTTACCTATAAATAGTAACCAGTTATATTCTGTGTATCCAAGAAAGAATCCAGGCCTTTTTTAAAGCAATCCACTGAGCTGGCCAGAGCCAACTCTTGAGGGAGTCTATTCCACATTTTCACAGCTCTCACTCTGAAGAAACCTTTCCATGTCCGGAGATTACATTTCTTTTCCTCCAGACGTAAAGAGTGCCCCCTTGTCCTCTGTGATGACCTCAGGGTGAATAACTCTACACCAAGTTCACTATATGAACCACTGATGTATTTATACATGCTGATCATATCCCCCCTTAATCTCCTCTTCTCAAGAGAGAATACATTCAGTTCCTCTAATCTTTCCTCATAGCTGAGCTCCTCCATGCCTCTTATCAGTTTGGTTGCCCTTCTCTGTACTTTCTCCAGTTCCCCAATGTTCTTTTTGTGAATTGGTGCCCAAAACTGAACTGCATATTCCAGATGAGGTCTTACTAATGATTTGTACAGGGGTAATATGATATTTCTCTCTCTGGAGTCTAGCCTGTTAATACAAGAGAGAATTTTGCTCGCTTTTGAAACCACAGCTTGGCATTGCATGCATGCAAGTTGTCCTACAATACTCTTTCATGCCATTGTGCTAGGGGTGTGAAAATCTTTGAAAAAAACTACTTTTCCAAGGGACACAAATTGGGGTCCCAATTTACTTGTCCCTCATGACAATCTACTTGTCCTAAAAAAAAAAAAAAAAAATTTTTTAACTGAAACCGTATTTATATCGGAGGTGCTTTTAGGAAAGTCTGGAGCTTTTAAAAATGAAAAGGGGTTTTATGACGACTCAAACTTTCAATGCTACTAACTTTGCGCTGTTTCTCTCCTCCTCACCTCCCTGCCTGTCTCCAGCACAGCACCCGGGGACTAGCAGGTATAGGAGAAACTGCAGTGTGGCGAGCATCGACTGGGTACTTGTCAGGTGTCAGGGACCCCAGGCTTTACCGCGGCGCTCGAGTCTGCGCATGCACGGTATGACAGGGCGCACTAGCGTGCGGGCACTAGGACCTGGGCGCCTGCGACGGTAACGGCGGTCGCGCATGCGCACTCGCGATCGCACGCCTGGCACCAATGAGAGCGCAGGGCACCCTATTTAAACAGGCTCTAACTATGCTCAAATTGCTGTATGGTCTTTTCCTGTTATCCTGTGTTCCTGAGAGATTGCCTTGTTGCCGACCCTGATCCGTTGACTGTCTCCTGCTCTGATCCCTGGCTTGTCTGACCATTCTCCTGTTTTATCCTGTACGTTTGACCTCCTGTTGCTGAACCTGGCCTGTGACCCATTTATCCTTCTGCCTGCCGCTTTGTACCGTTCTGCCTCCACCGTTACCAACCTGGCCTGTCTGACTTCGCTCAATCCACCTCTTCACATCAGGCTCTCACCTGCTACGTACCATCAGCAAGTGCCTCTACCACAGCTGGTTGCACCCAGGGGCCGCGACCTGGTTTTGTCCTGCTCCAAATCCATCCCCACTATCAGGGGCTCTGGTGAACAAGCAGGTCAAAGCTTAGATTCCGCTCCCCGGGGGAATCCCGGTCTGTGGAGCGCTAGAGGATACCACCGGTCGGTCCCTAACATCAGCAAAGGGGAGTGTCGGGTTATTTACCGCTCAGCAGAAGCGCATCTGCTGAGTGAGTAAATGAAGCGCTGGCCCCAACAAGAAAAAGGAAAAACAAACTTTATTCCTTCAGGTTACCCTCGCATAAGGAAGCACTTGGGTGCTCAGTACGAGTGCATGCTCAGCAGCCAAATTAAGCTCCAGTGTCTGCTCCATTAAAGGATAAGTTCACCTAAAAATAAATAAATAATAATATATGCACATTTTTGCAGGTAAAACAATGTGCATTTAATTTTTTTTTAAGGAGCCTGGAAAGCATTGCACCAGCAATCAGCAGGTCACTGGTTCAATGCAGGACTCCTGAAGACCGTCAGTATAATCTGTTTGTACAACATAAGGGCAGGCAGTTTTACACTGACAGGAAGAATCAATGAACTACTAGAACGTTCAACAGTGCCATGGTAGTTCAGAGAACTACAAGCCGACATCCGATAAGGATGACGGTACTTATAGTTGATTCATTCACAGAACTCTGAATGGATGACACGGCTGTGTGATGGAGCCCCACAGAGCCGCGTTCTTTTCAAAAAGTGAAGTGAACTTCTACCCGTACTGGTGTCACACAGAGGGCTTGCATAGCCCTTAACGGCCAGTTCAGATGTGTTCTGGACATGTTTTTGCATGCACATTTTTTATGTGTTTTTGGTGCATTTTTGACGTGTTTCAATGCATTCCAGTTCATTTTTCCCCTCTCTTTTTCTTCAATTTAAATAGGGACATGTGCATTCCAGTGTGGTTTTGATGCGCGTGTTACCGCGTTCCAGTACAGTTCTGTGCAGGAAAAATGCAAACTGTTCTAGTTTTTTTTATGCAACCGGAACACACTGGAACTGCAAGCACTGATGTTAACTGTGACACTGACAACCATATAACCTACTTTCTATGTGTTTTGGATGCAGAAAAAAAGCAACTGAAACGCATGTAGTGTGAACTGGCCCTAAAACAGGTGTAACATGTTCCTAAAAGTCAATTACTATAAAATCTCTGATATTAAATAGGCTGAATTGACGTACAATTCACACAAAGTTAAATAATAAAAATTCACTTCCATCCAGAAAAATGATGCAGCACTAAAGTACGTGGTACATTCCCAACAGGATTATAAAACACCTGCCTGGACACTCCACATCAAGACAAAAACAGAGACATCGCACACCACTCCTCTTACTCTAAGAATGTGAATGGCTCATCTCCTCCGTCATATTACTTCACCCACCTGCATCCAGAAATCTCATAACAGATTTGTCAAATGTTTGCAGAACAAGGAAAGCAGGAAGCAGCCTCCAGCTGCATCTATATATCGGGGATTAGCTCGCTAATGCTTACCATTCTACCGAAATCCAGACCTTCTCCAGAGCCACACCACAGGAAAAGAAAGGCCCTCTGGCCAGCAACACTTTCTATATCCAACTTCATTATCTGAAAGAGAAACATAGCTTCAGTGGATGATTTCACAATAATTCACATCTTTGCAAGCAGTCTGACAGTTCGATGCTTGAGTAAAGTCCCTGAGCTTAGACATTAAAATCACAAGGTCTTACATCACAAGTGTGGATCTAAAGCTTTTAATATGCACCAGATGCGTATAAAGGAGACAATTTATGAGTAATGGAAAGATATATTAGAAGTGTAATTTATGAGCATGTGCTCCAAAAACCTTTTAATCTAGTGTAAATGATTACCTATCGGGTCTTTACAATACACCATTAAGAATTAGGTGGGAGAGGTAAAAGGTCAGGACCAAATGGAATACTGGAGTAAACAAAAAAACACCTGGATGGAACTTATAACACATATATGGGATACTTGAGCCCCTTTCACACAGGGTGGACCTGACAGTGGATCCCCTGCTCAGCAGGTGAATCTGCCCGCTGAGCAAGCGATGACAGGTCCGTGTCTGCTCTGCATAAGCAGCCCACTGTCCTCTATGGGCTGTTGAATGGAAACGAACCGCTTGTCTGTTTACATCCGACTGTCATCCGATCCCCATCCATTTGTTTTTAGCAGATTGAATCGAATGCAGGTGGGTGTAAACGGACACATGTCCATTTACACCCGCCGCTGCAGACAGAGCAATGGAACGTCCAAAAAATGGATAGCCAGGCTATCGGTCCGCTCGTGTGAAACGGGACTTACAATAGCTGATTAAAGTAGTATTTACCTATCCTTTTGAAAATGTTTCCATATAAGGGGCAAATACAGCCAGGTTTAAAATGTAAGTTTACAAAAAAAAAAAAAAAATGAATAATAATAAATGCACACTTTTTGCAGGTAAAAAGTAGGGCACATCCTCCCTCATTACACAAATATACATCACCTGATATGCTTAAATCCAATAAGCATTCAAGTATTACAGCTTGGAATTGGACAATATGTATAAAAATTATGATTTGGTCAAAAAAACTTGCCTAATAATTGTGCGCACAGCGTATACTGCTTATGAGAAAAGGTATTTAGCAGTTTACACTTACTAAAATTGCATTTCTATGTTCTGTGTACTGTGGAAGACCCGATATAGTGAATGCAGGATCCTGGGTTTAGTAACACTTTAAGAATCGTAACAGAACATTTGCAATTGCTGAAATTTGGGGTTTTCTGAAAATGAGTCCATAAACTCAGTATTTTACAGCACCCTTTTTCAAGAGATAGCGAAACTATTTACCCGGTTTCCAAAAACTTAATTGATACAGAAATTGGTTGCATCCACTAAACACTAATCTTTAGCCTTGCTAGGAACAGTGGGGACAGGTATCAATTCTGTCATACACTAAGGGGAACAGAAGCAATAAGACCGTTTTCCTATAAGAATTCAGCTCGGTCCATAAATTCCTCCCTGCATCAGACTGAAACCTGACCCTGACCACTTACTAAGTCTGTTTAGAGTGAAAATATCTCATCGTCAGTACTAAATCTGTCTCAGATCAGCACAAATCTGTTTCAGGATCACTGGCACAGGGGTCACAAAGATATTGTTGCTGAGTCGATTGATAAATGTGCTTCACTTTCATGTAAAAACAATTCAATTGTATCTAGCCCATGTTTTATTTTATCCAAGATACAAAGTAGGCATATGTTAGGACTCAGAGGGGCTCAATACTTTTTTTTTTTTTTTAAAGAATATTGCATGTAGATTTTATGATGGCAAGTTAAAGCTAGGAACTATGGAAAGTTCATAGATCTGACAACTGGAATCCCCAAAAAATTGCAGAAGTCAGTGGGTGATTACACCCAAAATGAACACAGCTATTCTGGGAAGCCTGATCTTTAAGAGAATACTTTCACACACCAGAAAATTTAGCAACAAAGAATTTTATGGGTTCATTCACACAGGGATCCAGCCCATGCAAGAGCCAGAGCTCTGTACTTCTATCCATGGAACCCCACCAAAGCTTGATTTTTGTGGCTCATTGAAAAGCTTCTAAAATTTGTATTACATGTATGCTGGAACAGATCAAAACACAATGGCTGTCGTTATACATTTGAAATGATCAGGTTATACTTGCTATATCTGTAAAAGTAAGTAGCATCAACAGCTGTGGTGAAACCACATTCCCTGAGATGCAGCAATAAAAGTGCAGCCAGCTAATTAAGACATGGCTGGTTGAGGGAGAATTCAATTAAGTCTATTGACGGAATGGATTTTTTCAGTATTGAAGAAAATAGCAAAGGTCAAGGTCAATCTCTTCTCTAAAACAGGTTGCTGACCAGATTAACCTCTGCTCAAAGCAGAAATCTCAGGGGAAGATACACAATGTGTTCACATATTGTGGTTGCCCTGCCAGTGACTCCTGGAGAAAACTATGTACCATAGCAGCAGACTTTCACAACTCACATTTGGTTTCCAAAAAATAATTAAGCATTTGTTTCCTAAGACACAAGCATAACAGCGTATTAAATGCAGGGGCTATTCTTCTAATATAATGCTTATGAGAAATCTACTATATGTCTCCTATAGTTAAAAAGGCAGTGCACATCACATTTTTTGATATCCACATTGAAGGCTTATGTCAGCGGATGCCAATGGAAATGGGGGAGCAGCTATAACATATAATTTCCTATACAATTAAGCACATCATTTTCTATTAAAAGACAGATTGAGAAAAGATTAGAAGAGATATAAGCTATTGGTGTCTGTGTCTATATCTGGGCAATTCCTCCACAGACAGAACAAAACATGATGGAAATCAACCAAATGGGGACACAGACAGAAAACCCTAAATGCCTGTCCATTTGCCATGTTAAACAGTACAAAAGTAATGGCTGGTCACAGACACTCCCACTTCACGTTTAAAGTGGTTGTAAAGGCTGAAATCTTTTTACCTTCATGCACTCTATACATGAAGGTAAAAGACCTTCTGTGTGCTGCTTCCCCACAGCCCCCCTAATACTCACCTGAGCCCACTCTCAATCCAGCGGTGTGCATGGGAGCCTCGGCTGTCCCGAGTTTCTCTCTCTTCTCATTGACTCAAACACAGCAGCAGGAGCCATTGGCTCCCACTGGTGTCAATCACAGCCAGTGAGCCAATGAGGAGAGAGCAGGGGGCGGCACCAAGCTGCGGCTGTGTCTTATAGTGCTCGGGAGCAAGAGCACGCACCAGTGCCCCAATAACATGCGGCTTGCTATTGGGGGCACTAGTCAAGGGAGAGGAGCCAGGAGCGCCAGCGGGGGAACCCGAGAAGACATTAGTACTTCTCTGTGCACAACCATTACACAGAGCAGGCAAGAATAACATGTTTTTAAAAAAAAAAAAAAAAAACACAATCTTTAATATCACTTTAATGCAGGAACTGCTGTTCTGTGCTGTGTGCACGGGTAGCAAAGGCCTGCCAAGTCCCACGAGCACTGGAGAACATACAGAACCAGCTGTTGAGGGAGCAATAAGTGTTATTTCTGTCTAGATAAATATAATTTTTGTAGTCCCTGAGAAATCCTTTTCACCGATTCCTCACAGACACAGCTTGATGTTGTTAAGCAGTGTAGGGTTATATTGCAGCCTACAGGAGAAATTGACACAAAGCAAAAAAAAAAAAAAAAAAAAAAAAAAAAAAACACCTCTGAAGGCCTGTTCGTTTAAGGCTACTATCCCTCTCACCTCAAATCTTGCCAGTTGTAGCAAGCAGTACAAGATAACAAATGGGGGTGGGGGGAATAGCGGAATCAACATTGCCACAGTCTCTCAGAACCCAAGTTTTAAACAGCCAAGCCATCAAATCTAGCAGCAAAGAAACAGGGTGGAAGATTGGTCCCTGAGACAACAAATTTGGCTGATCTGGCAGCGGCCATGCACCATATGCTAACAGATAAAAAAGTTTGGCATATCATGCTCTGCCAGGCTAATACGGAGCTATGAGAATGACTGGAATGCCCCCGCTTTCAATCCTCCAAAGCAGACGAGGTAGAAGCTACAGCAAAGGAAAGGTGTAGGCTAGAGCATACCAATCCCACAACACTATGAATGTGTCCGCTGCATCTGTCGTTGTTACTTTCACCCTGGAGATATAACTTCTCCAGCTTCTCGCAGAACATATGCTAGCATATCCACATATGGTGTCCCCCAATGTAAACATGTCTTGAGACACCTTCTGATCAAGACACCATTCCTTTGGGTCCAAACTTAGTCTGCTGACTTAATGCGAGACCCAGTATGCCCCTCACACCATAAAGTCCAAGTAATACACATTGGTCCTGTAGCTCCTCAGATATCCAGTTTGGACAAGAGACAAACAGTGAAGGCACAAGCGTTTTTTGTTTGTTTTTTTTAATGTAGTTTTAATGAAGGAAAAGCAATAAAACTTACATACAGCAAAAAACCCAAAAATTCAACTGAAGTGTCTGGGGGGGGGGGGGGATAAAAAAAAAAAAAAAAAAAGATAGGAATGTGTATATAGGCATCCTTTATGTTGATGGATGCCAAGTTGTCTCCGCTGTGTAGGGAGGCCCCCGCTTTCAGTCCTACAAAGCAGATGAGGTAGAAGATTCAGCAAAGGAAAGATGTAGGCTAGAGCACACCAATCCCTCAACACTATGAATATGTCCACTGCATCTGTCGTTGTTACTTTCACCCTGGAGATATAGCTTCTCCAGCTTCTAGTTGAACATATGCTGGCATATCCACATCTGGTGTCCCAAAATGTAAACATGTCTTGAAACACCTTCTGATCAAGAGACCATTCCTTTGGGCCCAAACTTAGTCTGCTGAAGTAATCTGCTTGCCAGTTCTCCACCCCAGGAATGTGCACTGCAGAAAGCGTGAAACTCCATAAAGGACAGAATAGACTCTGCTTCTCTGGCCTCCACAACACTCAGTGTGCCATCATGATGACTGATCTAAGCCACAGCTGTAGCATTGTTAGACTGAACCCAAACTTGGTGATCTATCAGAAGCAAAGTTCAATGAAGTAATGACTGGAAATTTGGA